CTTACGCCTGGTCACGTCGTACTTGCTTACTGAATGCCGTATGCGTAAACTAGACGTAAGTCATGCTGCCTAGAACGGCTCTGGTGCTGCCTGGAACCGTTAACAGAATCGTTAAGCGAGCTGCAAAACGGTCCCATGGAATTGGAACACACTGATTTCGATTCCCATCCCTAATTTAAAAAAAAAATAATTCAGAAAGTGTCTGTCTGCATGAAGTACTTTTACCGAAGGACCAAACATGTTTCAGCAGGGTGTTCATGTTAAAAATGAACACCAGGGGCCCCAAACGGCCCATTTTAGACATCTAAGCGTGTATGAATGGGTGCATGGTTGGTGCAAACTGTCCAGCAGCAAAAGTCAAGGGCATAAGGTTGGAAAGCGTGAAACACCCGCCGTACGCTGCTGGAGAGACAACTTCCAGAGGCCCCTCAGATAATAATAACAAACAGAGCCACCGTGTGTGGCTGTAACATGCACCGCTAAATCAAATTAGACGATGGCTGAACCATTCAGAGCAACATGCAAACGCCTGGTTCCTCCGTATAGGTAACGCTGTTTTTGTCTTTTTCCAGTCGCTAAAATTAAATCACTGGTTTCCCAGACTCTGTTAGAACTCTGCTTGTTGAAGCCAGGAGAATATTAGAGGATATTAAGGTGATTCTGCCATTTTCTAAGGTTTCTGTCTGATCTACAGTGTTCGATGAGAAGAAACTCAGTACAGGAAACAAAAAAAAGGACCTGAGCGATCTTCACTTGGGGAGAAAATACTGTAAGAGGAAGACCAATCTGAGGGAAGAGGCATAACAGTTGAAAGATGGTTTATATGGTTACTGTGTGGGTGTGTGTTTGCGTGTGTGTGTCCTTCCTGCTGTGAAGTACTAAAAGCTTTGCCCAACAAAGGCTTATTGTGTGAAAAGCATGACCTAAGCCCATCTAATACAAAAAAAAAAGCAGAATGGAAGAGTCTGAAGAAGAGATCCGCTGAGCGGGAGCAGGAGTGATTTCTTGATGCCTGTGCTACTTTTCCCAGCCCTCCCCCTGGTGCAGCGTCGATAGGCCTCCAACGCACACACACGGAAACAGAGCCGAGCCCCTGAGCCACTGCGCCGTTTCCCTGTGCAGTAAGAGATTACAGAAGCTGTGGGGCCGGAGCGTGTTCTTCTGGGCCAGGATGTGCATTGTAGCACCGATGCCCATTTTGCTCCGCAGCTTGGCAGAAGCCGCTGGCCGACACCCAAACAAAAGGCTACTGCGGCGTCCACAGACTGCCTGTTCAGAATACCGTAGTACTGCGGAGGCCAGCGGCTGTGCTGGACGGGCTCCGGGGAGAACGGACGACATTTATCAAGCTATTGAGAGGAGAGTCTTGGCTCCAAGCACACAAGGCTCCTCCGAAATGGAGTATTGATTTAAGAGTGCCGCTTCAACTGTGGGTCAGGATGAAGATGAGCTCAGAAAGATAAAGATAATAGATGAAAGAACGCGGCAGAGCCGACGACGACATCACACCAAACAGGAAAGGGAGCCATATGTTTGTGTTAATTTTGTGTTTTGCAGGTCAAGCTGCTTCATTCGAACCCAAAGGGCCAATTTCATAAAGTACTTTTTCCTTCTTATTCATATCTGCTTCTTAAAATTTTCAGGCATCCATGCATAACAAATGTGAAAACATTAAAAATATGTTTGAAAGTTTGTTCATATTTCAATCCGTTTTCTCATCAGTGTGCGTGAGGGGAGGTAGTTCTAGGCAGGTATTTCTTAAAAATGGGGGCGAGCACGTAGGACGGCCTTATGTTAACATATCATCAGGTAGATTGAGAATCAGAAGGACCACTTATTTTGATGATCCACCTGGAAAAAGAACATCCTCCACTATACCTTTAAGATATTACTTTGGTCTAAGGTCACGCAGAGAATCTTTAACAAATTCATATTTAATCAAAACGTTAGATACAACAGGAAGTCCAAACATCCCATATGACTGGTCCACCGGTTTATTACACATGGCTAAATAAAGCACAGCTTTTTAAAGAAAATAAAGATGGGGAAACATTCTCCATTAACACTAAGGAAGCCATCTGAATTGCACAGCAAACATAAAGCAGGCTTCAACCTAATCAAGTTTACTTAGAAATGTTAAGAAAAAGATGAAAAATATAAGATCCTGATGATGATTATGTTTAAAAAAAAATAAACAGACTGATGGATTTATTTATTTTTCTTACTGCTGCTGTACTCGTCCAACACAGCGGTGATGAATAAAGCCACTGAGGCGTGTGTTCCCTTGTCAGAAAATGTGACGGGTTACAATGCACATCCAAACGGCGTTATCTTTCTCCCCACAGGTTCACAACGTGTCGTTCTCCTTTGAGCTGATGCAGGATGGAGGTCTGGAGCGACCAAAGCCACGAGCTGAGGGTAAGATCCCGTTTGCCTCTTTACACTTCCCCTTAGTTTGAGCAGGTTAATAAGACGATTTTAACAGTAATTCACCTTATTTGGTTGGCAGTTTGTCTTTCTTGTTTCAAAATACTTCATGTTAGAAGATTTCGTTATACAAGCATACCTCCATCTGTCATTCTCTCTGTTATTTTTATTCAATCTGGAGAGTTTATTCTGGATGTCAAGATTTTTTAGCATAAAAAGTGAGCGGTGTAGTAACCCTACTTTTACAGTTACTGCTGAATCGTGTCAGCCCTGTCATAGAACAAGTCTGCAATGGCGACTGGTTTTTCTGCAGAGTCGGCTCCTTACTAGGACTTCTTCCTATTTCTATTGAGTTATCTCACTTTGGGCTTTCAGGTGGTGAAAATAAAGACTCTGCACCTCCCTGGAAAAATGTCAAGTGTTTGTAATGGTTTAATAGAAAGAAATAAGAGCAAAATGAATAGTCACAATGCTTCCTCTCTAATATATGGACCTTTATCCAGCTGGATTTATCCTGAAATATATGTTGTACAATTCAACAACAAAAAAAATGGTATAAGAACAAATGAAGTTATGATGGAATAGAGATTATTTATTACTTTATTATCCATCTGTGAAGTGACTCATGTGTCCCAGCAGCAAAACAAGACTCAAATTGAAAATATGCGGATTCACAAACGGGTAAAAATTTTAATAAATCTGCATATAATGAAAAACCTATATACTTTATATAGATATAAATGCATAAACAACTGAACACAATAAACTCAGCTATCACCTGAAGAACATCTCCAGGATTAAAGGAATAATGTCTCAGCAGGACTTCCTGCTTCATTCATCTTTAGTAGAATTGATCCCTGCAGCGGTGCCTTCACAGCTCTGCCTAGAAAGTGGATCAGACAGCTTCAGCTGATCCAGAATCCTGCTGCCTGCATCCTCACTAGAACTAGGAAAGTGGAGAACATCAGCCCAGTTCTAAAGTCCTTTCACTATCTCAGATAATAGACTTTAAATCCTTCTGTTAGTCTAGAAATCACTGAATAGCTTCGCTCCAAAATACATTACAGACTGGTTGGCAGTGGATCGACAGCCAGACCTCTAAGCTTTAATAGATCATATCTACTCTGCAGAACAAAACTTAGAGAAGCAGCTTTTGGTTCTTACGCTCCACTAATCTGGAATAAACTGCCAGAAAACTGTAAAAGTTTTTACAGTGGCCTTTAACTGAACTGTTTAAACTGTATCAGTTAATTTAGTCGTATAACTTTTATTTTATTATTTATTTTCTATTATTATCTTATCTGTATCTTTTCTGTTACATTCAGCACTCTAAATGGTTTGAGCGTCCACACATCTAATCCAGATTATGGTTCGGTTTCATCATGCACTACTTACAAGACTAGCACTTATTTTACAGAATCTGATTAACCCTAAATACACCTCAGATGTCCTGGTAGGATTATCCTAACCTTTGCCTGTTAGCGTGCTTAAGCTGAAGCCACGGTTTGCAGCAGAATTTCAATGCTTAATTGTATCAAACATAAGAAGGATTTGGAAAATCCATTGAACTGTTAGGCATCAATAATTACGGACAAAATGAAACCAATGTGACTGAAAGTGGGCTTTTCTTCATAACACAGGGTTTCTGCAGGTCATTAAAAGTCGTTAAATTATTATTTTATAAATTAAGGCCTTAATTGATATAAAAATAATTAAATGTGATTATTTTTGCATTTAAAATGCTTTAAAAAAAATAAAAAAACAGAAAGACAATTTCATCTATTAGATATGACTAGTTCCGCTTGTTTCTGCAGAACTCTTTACTATGATAAAACTAACCTAAAGCTAGAGAAATGCAAAATGCTAATTTCAACAAAAGTGGCTGAAGAACGCC